TATTGGAAAACAATGGATATTTCTTTTTTGTATATATCTCGGAAAAGAGTAAATTTACACAAGGTAACCAATCTTGAATAAGTTATATTAATATTAGTAATTAGTACCATGGTAAGTTATTTCTCCCAAAGGGTAGAATAATAACAACAAGATTAATTATTGCAAAATAAAACAATGAAATCACTATTGGGCTAACATAAAATCAAAGTTCATCGAAAATTTGGTCTAAAATTTCTCTAAGACACTAGTTTTTTATGATTACATCGGCAATAATTCAACAAAAGAATGTTTGAAATACCCATCAGATCGCTCAAATCCTTTTTCTACTAAATAAGGTGGGAGAAATTTTTGTAAATAAACAACTTTTTAGAATCATTTGAGTTTCCTTCTCTCTTCTTCTGTAATAAAAGTTATGGCAGATTGGACAAAACTTTCCAACGATGTTATTGCTCACATTGCAAATCGTATTAAAGTGATTGAAGATTTTATTGCTTTTGGTGCAGTTTGTACCTCTTGGCGAATTGCCGCTACAAAGGACAATTTTGATGTGCTTTCATCCCAAGTTCCTTTGCTTATGTTGCAGGGTGTCAATCACGAGGAATATTATCAAAATATCTATTCTCTTTCCAAGAAGAAAGTTTCGCCCATATTTCTCCAGCAAGTTAGAGGGTCAAAATGTGTATCAATTACAGAGGGATGGCTCTGCACCATGGAACGGGATACGGGGGGAGATAAATTTGTTGCACCCTTTCTCTCACAAAAAAATACACCTTCCCTCCCAAAAAGCCTTACTGACTTTCCATGATCGTGCTGCTTTCGAAAGTAATCATTGGGGTTGCATAGACATAGTTGTCGTGTTTACCAATGCCAATCCTTTTCTTACGTCAGATTATGTACTCATGGTGCATCATAATGGAGCTGACTCTTTTTTGGCATTTTGGCGATCTGAAGACCTCGATTGGACTCATATTGATGTTGTTAATCACGCTGTTGTGATTATCTCTCTAGTTTATCACAAGGGCGAATTTTATTCCATGAGTTACAGTGGCAAAGTACGGGCTTATGAAGTTGCAGGGCCTAATGTAAAGACACGCTTGGTTGGTGAGATAGACGAAAATACATTTAATTCGCGTGTAATTGAGTATTACCTAGTTGAGTTATCTGGTGCACTATTACTTTGATTCTAGTTTATTCTAGTCCTCACAAATAATTTTTGATGCCTCAACAACCTAACAAGCCCATATATGAAAATTAGGTTAACAACAGTAGTAACTCAATATAGAGCATTATAGCAAATTTTAACTAATTCAGCCACAAAAGAGAAGTGAAATTTTCAGATTCTCTTGCGAGATTCAAAAGTGAGATATCTCCTTTGTTCTTATCCACAAAATAAAAATCTCTAAGAACCAGAGATACTAAGGCAAATAAAAACTAATTAAAGTTTTACTCTATAACAAGCAAAAATCTGAAGACCACAATACTATTACCATTTAAGGCAAAAGTACCAAAGCAAAATTATAAAATGCAAAATCACAAACCCTACATCCATGATAACAACAAATATCTACAAACTAACAATGGATACATTTAAGTTAAGAACATACATGAACAAATAGATAATACATAGATTCAAAAAAAAAAAAAATAGAAAACTGAGAGCTTAACCTTTAAAAAAACTTATTGAGAGCTTACATAGAAAAGATTAGAGTGAATTAGAACTATTTCAAGTGAAGAGTTTACAAATAAACTTACGGATTAAGAGCTTACCGTAAATGGAGAAGCTTGATTTGTGAGAATTTTACTGATTGAGAGCTTATCATGAATGGATGAATCTCTCAATTCAGAGGAAATTGAGAGATTTGAATGATTTTGGGTTAGGGTTTCTTTGTATTTTAGGGGATTTTCAATTTCTTTGCATTTGTGATCAGCTTTAATTTCCTATATGACAACAATTTTCTTTTTATGTGAACTGTGCTACAACTAATTTAGGGAACTAATTAAATTGTCTTATTTTCAATTAAGGAAAAAGATTATTTTTATGTAAACAGTCAATTAAACTTAATTAAATTTTTTTTATTTTAATTAAGAAAAAGAGAATATATTATAGATATTTAATATATAATGCGTTTTAAACCATTAGTGGCGGTTCAAACCGTGACTATCTATCTTTCCTTCATACCAAACATACCCTTAAAGGATAAAGTGAAAATATATTGAAAAAATGGTTTCTTTTACATGATAAGAAGCAGTATATAATATGAATATCTATATTAGTTGGTTTATTTTTTTTCCTATTAAATATGGGTGGATCAAATATTTCATCCGTCTTACCCCCGACTTATTTTTGACTCGCACATATCTGACTTGACAGTCCGTTTGCCATTTTTATTTGAACTCATTGACTTCAAATTCTAGCTCAGTCTAAGTTAATAACGTTAATTGACAACTAAACGAAACAGTACTGAAATAAGCTTATTTTTCTGGATTTAATTCTTGAGTTATTCCTCATTAATTATCCTTTTGCAAAAGTTAGATTGAAATCCTCCTATACTTGGGCCTCCATAATTCTCTAATTACACCAGACCCCTCAAATATGTGGACTGATGTTAACAGCTTGACATTCTTAATGTTCTAAATATAATATAAAGAAATATGGAGTGAATAAAGGTGCATTAAGAAGTAATAGAGGCTTAAGTAATGTAGGATCTCAACCCCCAAAAACTAAGAATTTTTGTTGAAACACAAAATATAACTTTGTTTTTGTTTGGAAAAATTACTTGGATTGGTACATTTTAATAAATAATTACTGATTTAGCGATACTTTTTATTTATTATCATTTATAACAATATTATGGTAAATCTGCAATATGTATTAAAAGTGAATTATGTATGCAATATATATGTATTATAACTGTTTTTTTTTAAATATATTATTCTTATTTGATAAGAAATTGACACATTGAATTATAAGTATATTAAAATGCGTGATAAATGTATTATCCATCAATAAAACTTGTATTATATGTGAATAATAAATTGTTCTTTGTAATACGTATTAAAACAGTATTATAAATGTATTAAAAGTGATCAAGTGAAAAAAAAAATAGTTATTGCTATAAATGGTAAATATTTTCTTAATATAGTATATTTATGTAAGTTTCCCTTTTTGTTTAGACGTATATATTTTTAAAAAGTTTATCTTTTGAGAAAATGGCAAAATGCCCCCTCAATGTATATTTGAAGTCTTAACTATCCATTTTAATTTTACTGGGTTTTATCATCTCTTGTACTGTTTAAAACTGAAATTGTTACCTCCCCTAAATGCTTAGCTGGCATAGTGAGTGTATTTCACTTTGGGAGAGTGGACTCAATAAGAATGATCATTATAACTAGGATTGAGAATATTTATATCGGTGGTGACTTTACTTTTAGATAACATGATTTTGACTATTAAATGTATCTTAATTGATATGGATTCATTAAGAACCGTTTCATTATAATTAAAATAATTTCAGTGTAATTTAATATTTTAAGTTATTAGATCTCCTATTTTAATAGAATTTAGTTCATATTGGAAAACAATGGATATTTCTTTTTTGTATATATCTCGGAAAAGAGTAAATTTACACAAGGTAACCAATCTTGAATAAGTTATATTAATATTAGTAATTAGTACCATGGTAAGTTATTTCTCCCAAAGGGTAGAATAATAACAACAAGATTAATTATTCCAAAATAAAACAATGAAATCGCTATTGGGCTAACATAAAATCAAAGTTCATCGAAAATTTGGTCTAAAATTTCTCTAAACACTAGTTTTTTATGATTACATCGACAATAATCCAACAAAAGAATGTTTGAAATACCCATCAGATCGCTCAAATCCTTTTTCTACTAAATAAGGTGGGAGGAATTTTCGTAAATAAACAACTTCTTTGAATCATTTGAATTTCCTTCTCTCTTCTTCTGTAAAAGCTATGGCAGACTGGTCAAAACTTCCCAGCGATGTTATTCCTCACATTGCAAATCATATTAAAGTGATTGAAGATTATATTGCTTTTGGTGCAGTTTGTACATCTTGGCGAATTACCGCTACAAAGGACAATTTTGATGTGTTTTCTCCCCAAGTTCCTTTGCTTATGTTGCAGGGTGTCAATCATGAGGAATATTATCAAAATATTTATTCTCTTTCCAAGAAGAAAGTTTCGCCCACATTTCTCCCGCAAGTTAGAGGGTCAAAATATGTACCAATTACAGAGGGATGGCTCTGCACCATGGAACGGGATACGGGAGAGATAAATTTGTTGCACCCTTTCTCTCACAAAAAATACACCTTCCCTCCCAAAAAGCCTTACTGACTTTCCATGATCGTGCTGAGTTCGAAAGTAATCATTGGGGTTGCATAGACATAGTTGTCGTGTTTTCCAATGCTAATCCTTTTCTTACGTCAGATTATGTACTCATGGTGCATCATAATGGAGCTGACTCTTTTTTGACATTTTGCCAATGCCGTTGTTTTTAATATACAACAAATCAAACAATCAATAAAAAATAATCCCAACATAACTTATCTTCAAACCATACGACCACTAATGTTAGATAATCCTCAAGTGCAAAATATTAAAACACTATTGACTCGGATAGAATATTTATGATATGAGGATTCATACAGTTGATCCCAACTAACTTGTCAATCAACCGAGACACCAGGTTTGAGAATAGGATGGAATTCCTGGATCTAGTGGCCGGCGAATCACCGATTAAAGAGCGTGCAACCGCCAGGTTTAAGCATTATTGTTGTTCAACAATATTACTATTCATAAACTCTAGTTTTCCAGCCTAAAGTATTGGAGAGATTTGAAAGTTGGAAACTTATGTAGACAAATCAAAAAGGAATATAAAGTGAGCAAACAGATCAAATCCCTCCCATTGGGACGAAAATAAGGAAAAAATAACAGACCAACTTTATTATATAAAAGGTCAATGTACAAACTCTTCAATAGCATAAACTTATCCAAGATCATGCATTGACCAAAAATTGTAATTGATCCTTTGTAACTCATGTACAACTTGCGTTCTACACAAGGTGAAAAAATCATGCTTAAAAAAAAAGATGTACAAAAGAATTTTCTTTAAGGTATACCTATGTCTATGCAGGAGAAACCTTTCACTAGAACTATAATCCTCCAGCAATGTCTTCTAAACAAGTAATCATGTGTTCCCTACTCTGGAGCTGCAAACTGCATATCAAAGAATTGAAAAACTGAGGAGAAATATATGAACCTAGTATAACCGGGAATCCCAGTTATACGATCAAATATACAGAATCACTCGGTAGATTTTACACTTTGCGTGTTCTCTCCAGACAAATCATTCTGTGACTTGTTGGGAGTAATAGTAAGTGGTGACCAGTGATCCGGAACCATCAGGAAATAGGTGGTCATTGCCTTCCGGAACCTCTTTTTGTATTGCTTAGGTGAAATTACAGTCGGAGGTGTGTTCTTAGGTCCACCAAGGATGCCAGAGGCCTTAACCCATGTCTCCAGGTGCTTGTCCCATGTATACTGCCTCATGAAGTCAATAATCCCAATAACGAGTTCATGATTTTCTTCGTCAACACCAACCAATAGTGAGTAATCCATCACATCAACCGACTGCAAGAAGAACTACTAAATTAGTCCAAACCATAAAAAAAAACTCATCTAAAAATACACTCAGACAAGCTATTGGGATTAGGCAACAAATATAATCCTTTGACAGAGGTTGGGTATTGTTAAAGGCGAATAATAAGAGGTGGATCAAGGAGCTAAATTTGATGGGTTCAACCTTTAGGTAATTACTATTGATCCCATTACACTTTTGAAATTATGGGTTCAAAACTTAAAAATATTTTTAGAAATTTTAATGATTTTTCACATATTGAACACATTGATGATATGCTACATCCGCCTCCTTGAATGGTACGAATTGATCACACTCAACAACCCCCAGGTTCATTTCTGAACCACCAACCAGCTATGTTGCTCGGACTCTCCAAAAATATACGCATTCGTGTCGGATCCTCCAAAAATGCACTACTTTTAGAGTATCCGACATGCACCCGTCGATATTTTTGAAGAGTCCAAGCAACATAGCCAACCAGCTCCTCATGGTTAGAGAGGTGCTTCCCTCTTCGTTCCTCGCCCCATGTGTCAAACGGACTCTTTCCAATTGGAAGTGATACAACTATCACATCAGTTAGAAGTGATTCAATCAACTGCAATACATAGTTTTAATGGCCAATAAAAGACATGAAAATTTTCCATGATCAGACCTCAATAGTCCACTAGGAATTTTAAAATAAGTTCATTATGGACAGAGTGTCGTAAACTTACTGCAAGAAAAGCAGTGTCATTCCAGACTGCTCGTTCCAAAAGTCTCTTGGCCTTGTTTCCAACAAAAATAGGTGAAGTTGGCATAGACTCGATCAAGTTCTGATCCAGTAAGACCTTATTACTTCCACTAGAGTCGGGATTGTAACGAGACCTGGCAGATCCTTTAAGGTCATAAAGCCGCGTTAGGTTCCTCCCAAATAGAAGGTTCTCCATAACTAGCACATCCATTTTAGATTCCTTCCCTCCTTTAAGATGCTTAGATGTCACCTTCACATAAACAACAGACACAATTATGCAAAACGACTAGATACTAATAAATCATAATCATAGTTCATGATATAATGACTTGTGAAAATGCCCAAGCATATGAACTGTGAGGGAGTCGGGGAATAATCAAGAAACTTATTAATTTAGACACTAATTGCACATCAAAGTTTGTCTTCATAGTATAGAAGAGAAATATGCAGCCGTTGTTTTGTGCTCAGTTCACTCTCAAGGCCATGGAACCATCATTCGAAAGACTCGAAAGACTTTGCAGACCATAAAGATGATCGTATTCATACAGACCATCATGTTCCTTCTAAAGGCAAAGAGCCAAAAAAGAGGTACCTCGATTACCCGAAGACACCAGTGAAAATGGATTGTGCCTTACCAGATCAATCCTAGTGAAAACTTCAGGTGAAAGTAAAAAGTGAATAACAAACCTAAGTGGTAGCTCAAATGTGTCAAGTTAAACCATTAACTATTTATAAATTATGTTAAGCACACCTTCCAAATGTGATACACTAGTCTTTGCTGCTCCATCTTTTTAAAAAACCAACAGAAATACTAGATTCACAACAAATGCAGCATTGTGCTGTTGCAGGTACTTTCCCCTAAAACTATATCGATCACTTGGTAACACGAATGACCTTATAAATCATAATCACAAAATTCGAGAAGCTGGAGTGATCAAGAGTGGTTAAAAATACCTGATAGATCCCCAGAATTTTTGCCAGGCAAGTAGGACTCCTTGAGTTTATGGATTCTGAAAGATACTTAAAATATGCTGGAGCAAACTTTATAAAAGATTCCAGCTCTGTCTTAGTCACTTGTTTGATAATGAATCGATCATCCAAGGTTTTAGCAAAGAAAACATTGCTCTTGCCTCCTTGGGCTCCCCACTTCTTACAGCGGCTAAGAGATCTTATGTAATCCATCTCAGATGGGCAACATTTCCTCCTCAAAGCTTCAAAGCGCTTCGCATAATAACAAGTCACAGTATACTTCACTTTCCCAAGTGGTCCATCATCCGAAAAGGAGACTCTGGCATGCATTGTCTTCGTGCATGAGAGTGGATCCAAAACCGAAGAGCTATGACTACTGGACGAAGACAAGAAACTGTCATCTATAGATCCAAGACTTCTGAGGGATTCTGATACTATTTCATCCATAGATTGAAGGGACTGCAGACTTCCAGATTCTTGGGACTGCAGTGGCAGGTTAGAGTCCAAACTAGTATCCTTTGATTTCTCTGGTTCATCGGATATTTGTGCAAGATAATCTGGTGAAACTAGTGCATAAGATATAATACTTGTGGGCTCTTCATCATACACTGGTATAATGGTATCATTAACCCCAACAGGTAGGAGCAATCTGGCTCCACCTTGTGCCTCTGACTCTCTAAATGATGAAATGTAGACAGGGCTGTACTCGCCAAGCGTATCCAACTTCTGAGCACTTGGTAAAAAGTTTTTGTTCAGTGACCAGTAGAAGCTAATAAAAGACATACCTAACCATCCCCCGGCATCTTCCACACTTTCAGAGCTCTTAGAGGATAATGAAGGAGGAAATCCAGACGCCTTAGTTCCGTTATGTTCCTCCACAGGGTCTTCAACATCTACTTTTTCTGCTAATCTAGTTGTTGAAGAATCTGCTATAGGTGGTTCAGAAGATCTGCAAGTACCATCCTTCAGCACTCCAGGACCGGAAGTAGTTTCACCAGTCCAAGCTGCCTCAAGAGTATCGGACAAACTATCCATGATCGCAGACTGCCCATCAGAAAGGGCTCTAGACCCCTCTGTATTGGATTCTGCAGAGTTCGACCCGCAGAAGCTTTCTGTTCCAACGGGAAGACATGCTGGTTTCTCAACTGCACAACTAGAATCAAAGAGAACCTCAGATCCTTGATGAACTGTGTCCACATGATTCATTTGGTTACCACTTACTCCATCATTAGATTTTTCACCAAGTATTGGAGTTACAGAAACAGAATCAGGGACATTCAAACAGTCACTAGGCCTGGAGGGATTATCTGGACCAGTGAACTTATCATTACCAACAAGGGCTTTCTCTTCAGTAACGCAATGATCCTCACATTCTAAGCTGGCCGCATATACGAGACGGTGATCCCACATATAAGATTGGAAAATAAATTGCCTTCGCAACCGATTAATCTCAAAAATATCAATGACAGGCTGCACCTTTTTCGCCTCCTTGGTCAGAATTTTCTGGAGAGATTCCTGCTATTACACAACACCCAGGAAACCCCATAAAAAGAAAATTAGCAATTCTTTTACAAAATCATTCGCTTTAAATCCCTAACATAAAGTGAGACAATCGAAAATTCCACGTAATTAGTTTAAATGATGTTAGAATCATGATACACATGAAAGTTAAGTATTAATGCAAGAGGTTAATAATGATAGTAAGCAAGTGAAGTTTTGATGCATCAAGAAGATGTCAATATAATCTGCAACATGGGCAGCAAAAGAAAATTCCACCATTTTTCTGACTCCCAAGCACAAGGTGATAAAAGAAGAAATACTGAATCATAACCAGACCCGTTTGCACATCGCTTACGGGGTAACTGGAGGAAAAAAGAACAACCAGAGACTCATGCTTCATAATAACTGCTACAAACACCCAACAGCACATACAAACATAGGCGTGGAGAGAAGGAGAGGAAGTGCTTAGTAATATATGCAGAACCATGATATGCTAAACAGAATATTGAATTCGGGTAAGGTTTTCAACTTCTACTTAATCAACCACTTTCTCAGTATCCTTTCGATTTTGTAATTAGGACACATATCTCTCAGACTATGCATAATCTAGAGACAATTTAATATTTAGAAGTGAAGACTTTACTTCAAATTCTTCCTTCTCCTTCCGCAGCATTCCTTCCAAAACAGCAATTTGACCTCTTGCTTCAGGTACTTCAGATGCTTCAGCGCTGCTGTTAACTTGACCACCAGATTTTTTCTCCACTAGAAGACGAATTGCATTCAGAACCTCAGAAAACAAACGTTCAGCTCGGACAATGACCTGCTCAAATTATGCCAAGAAAAAAAAGTACACAGAGTGAGATCAAATACCACTTTATACCACTCAAAAATCTGTCTTCGCACCTCATTCACTTCTTGTTGTATCCAGTCCTGATTTTTCTCATAGTTGAAATCCAGCTTTGCAGGAGGAAGGCACACTGAGTGAACATCAATTGACGCATAGCGGAAGCATGCAACCATTTTTCCGAAACTGCACAAGTCACATATTTATTAACATTGCAAAAGACACTGAAAGTACCAGGGGAATCATAGTTTTAAACCCAGACCCATAGAACTTTTATGCAGATTATTTTCATACTTTGGCAAAATAAATTACAAGCTAGCACTACGCAACCAACATGCAAAGAAGGAAGCAATATAATCAATAAAAAAATCCAAGGGAGAGAAGTACTGTTAATTGAGGAGAACATTAAACCAGCTAATCATGCCAACAGATTTGAAAATTAAGCATGACAAGCAAAAAGAACAAACATTTGAAATGCTCTTAGATTTATGACATTGCAGGCAACAAACCAAATAAGAGCATACCCATAAAACCGAAGACAATCTCTGTGTAACGAATGCCCGCAACTAGCCACTCTGCTTGCAGCTGCATGGTTTGAGAAACTAAGTTCTAGGAACTTCCCAAAGGATAAACCCCAAGCAGCATCAGACATCACTACTCTTTGAGTAGCTAGAGGAAATCCCTTAACCCGTGGACATCTCAGGCATCTATGCCACATCCATATTTTTCCTTCCTTTTCACCGGGCAAAAGAAACTCTGGCAGCTTCTTAACAGAAATAGTTAAAGTGCCTTGACGATGAGTATAACACTGAACATGTGCTTCTGAAGGCATGTCACATAAACTACATCTATAACTCTGCAGAAGAAAAGGAAAAACAAAGATAAAAGATCTTTTCGGTCTCTTAATTATATTCTTAATGTTTCTGGAAAACATGGAAAGGAAAGGGGAAAGCTTTACTTGATCAAACAAATTGTCTCGTAGAAATCGACCCAATGGCTTATCACAGTTCCTATAATATTTTATCCGAAAGAGATGAGACCTTTCACAGACAGTACCCTTCCAAACACATCGGGATGATAAGGAAACTAAAATGCTTTGATGGTCAGATGGGGACGGAGGGAACTCTTCCTTTGAAGAGTCTGGTTCATCATAAACATTTTGTCCGTCTAGTTGCAAAACCATTGGATTTGAGCCACTTTGGTTCACATCAACCCTGCAATATTGGACATTCTTTGACAAACAACCTTGTTCAACTTTATCTGAAGGCGCAAAACTGGTAGACAAGAAATGGTATCCTTGGGCATCTTGAATATTGTTGGCTACTGAAGGCTTTGAGAAGGAAGACTCTATCATATGCATAATACCTCTGTCCACAGATGTACCAGTTAGCAAGGGCCCAAGGAAGGAAGTCTCAGTGTTTGCAGCAGTAGGGAACTCTGTCATACCCATTTTCTGAGCACAAAGGTTTGCAGTCTTGACCAGGTCTGTTGTGGGAATGCTATTTGATCTCTGTGGTGCACCACCGCATAGTGATGATTGAGTTTTCTCAGTGTAAGGAATGGTAAAACCAGGTACTATTGAGATTGACCTGCCAATAGTTGATGATTTATCCGGAAGTGCTACAGTTATTGGAGAATTCAGAGGAAGTTCAGGTAGAGATGCTCCCTCATCAGCAAGAAAAGATGTTTCCAGAGCCAAATGATAAGCTGCAAAAATTGAATATTGAAAGACATGCTTTACTTGCTTCAACTCATCCCCGTTTGCACCACGGAGTAATACCTGAGTCAACAAATATCACGAGAGCCCAAAAAAATTTTAGAAGTCTATATGACTAATTTGCAATATGTACACATATGATGTCGTAAGAGTAACTTGGCCATGAAAAAAGATGGAAACCACCAATTTGCAGGTTGTCAAGTGTCTATTTAGAAGCAAGACAATAATTATAATTATCTTACTGTAGTTGTAGTAATTGATGATAGACTTACAGTGCATCCCAGTGGCTTTGGACAGCCTTCAAAGTGCATTAGAGTCTTCGCCAGCTTCTTTCCACTCTGTCCAGCTGTACCATGCTCTTCAAAAAACTTCTCAACATGGAACACGTCACAGTATCCTAATTTTTTAGATGAGAAATGATCTATTGAAGGTACTATCTGACTACCCGTGCAACGGGCTATACGCTCCAAAAGTGTCCTCTTGATATTTAAGACAAGTGATATGTCCTTTGCCAGGAGGTACTCTTGTGCATAGCGAGATACAGATTTTTCCACCAGAAGAACATCTGGTTGGTGTACATCAATTTTGGCAACAGCCATCTTGAGATGATCCATTTCCTGAATAGCAATACACATCTATAAACACAAGATTCAAACACTATTGGTTTCAAATATAGGAAGACAAGGTTATTCATCAATACCTGCTGCAACAAAGTATCAAAACTTGATAAGTGGTTAGAGACACGCTGGTATTCAAGAGCCCCTCCAAGGATTAATATGCGAGGCTTCTCTATTTTGGATGTCATTCGTCGATGAGCTACATTTTTCTTGCAGACAACTCCTTTCACCACCACACTATTTAAGGAGAAAAAGTTTCATATGAGAGGATACTATATTGGATGTGCGCAAGAACACAACAAATATGCTATAACATAAAGAGGTATAAAAGGTAGTGGATACAGAAGAAGAAGAAGAATATGATTTCTATTCTTGACCAAGAACACAATCACGAGCAAAAGAAAGCTGCCATATGTATGTCATAAGTTGTTACCTTGCACAACTATATTTAGTTTACAGATCATTGGGGGGAAAGCACTATGTCAATAATATTGTCATTGCTTCGTACTTAGCAAAAAAGCACTTTGACCAAAATACTTCCTAAGGCAAGAAATACAGGTTCTGGAGAAGAAGCCAAGTATTGAATAGAATTATATAAGTGAGAGATTCAAGTATTTCAAAGTTCTTCAGAAATCACAGAAAACAAAAGTACTATGTGTGTATCGAATAGAATTGTATTAAAAAGAGACTCTAGTATTTCTAGTTTCCTTCAGAAATCAACACAAACTAAAGTACTGTGTGTGTGTGTTTGAGAGAGAGAGAGAGAACATGAAACCTCAACAAAGCTCCTGTTTTCCTATTTCAAAATTTTATGTAGCTGCTTATCCTAACTAGTAACATATGCGGCAAGGATCCAACACACAAGCTGAACAGCATTGTGGACAAAAATGGGGGGAAAATTGCTTACCTGTCACCACGACGTCCAGATGCTATACATTTCACCTTTACGTATCCCCCAGGGTCCATCCCTCCGCTCTTGCTAGTGTCTGGTTTCAAAAGTGTAGCAGCTTCCCATGATAGGGATGTAATAATCTCCAGCCAACTCTCTTTTTCATCTTCCTCATCGACAAGGCCTTGAGCCTGCATAATCTGGGATACTAAAGCCCTGAAGTGGCCATCAACCACATTTTTCACAACCTTTTTCTGCTCCTCATTTGACCTATCCCTACTTCTATATTCACCACTTCCATAACTGCTTGATGACCGTAAACCTCCCCACTCTCCTGAAGCATCCCCATCGTCATCATCATCATTCATAAGTGATTCCTTTTCATCTTCTTCATCTTCTGGCTCAGGTGGAAGCCACAGAAGTCCATTGTTCTCAAAATCCACAGGTTCCACATTAATCTCTTCTGGAACATTTAGGGATGGAGGAACTTCACATTCATCAGAAATGTCCTGTTTTACAATCTGTTGGACTTCTTCAGAAGCCTGGGAATCAAAGCTATTGTGTAAGGAAGAGCTGCTCACACTTTTTTCATCAATAGCTTCTCCATCAGGGTGCTCTTTATGTGATCCATAGTCCTTTTTTATCTCATCATACAGAATGTGACTGTAGTAGTCATTAACCTGGGGAAAATGGCCCTGGGAATCTAACTGGTAAACACCATATTCATCTTCTTCATCATCACTCCTGCTTCCACAATGTAGCAACAAACAATTAACTGATACTGAAACATGTTCTTGGACACAAGTAGTAGGAACAGCATGTAACTACAAATGTAACGCAACTCACAAAGTAATTGGTTCGCTCAGGATAACTTTTCATACACAATCAAAGTGCTTTAAATAAATCTTACAGCAGCTGATACATATTCCTCTCAGACGTAATCTGTTCAAGATGTATGAAGACTTCCCTTTTTTGGTGTAAAGAGGAGGGTATAGAGGATGCTGGACAGATTTTTAGATTTTATAGGCTCTTTATAACTTAGCAGTAGTAAGCCTTGGTTGTTTATTTTGGTTTCTTCAATGTAAATCTTTTGGGGGTTGCCAGCATGCCCTTAAAGCTGAGGACTACAATTTTACCTTTGTCAAAAATATATGTATATATATATATATATATATATATGCTCACCACATTATTATCAAGCTCCTAGTTATACAAACATATGTCAAGCAGCATGAATCTATCTATGTACGTAATAGAAGAGCCAGTCCAACAAGGAAAAGGTGCCAAAAATACTGCATGTTGTTCAAAAATGGGTAAACTAGTATAAGAGGAGAAATCATGTGATCTGCAATCAAAGATGTTCTTTCTGACTTGGTTCAGCATCACAAATCATGTCAACTCACTCATAACACCACCACCACCCACAATCTTGCAACCCTGTTTATTTGGGGAAAGGTGGAATTGGCTAGTATTGAGTTGTGTGCCCATTTCATCTAAAAGCTTAAGATGTTGACATAGCATAATTTTATTTACTAAAATTATGTCTTCAACACACCCCCTCACATGCGGGCCAATTCCTTTTCATGAGCTAAGCACATGGAAATTCTTTTTAATATTGGGTGGCAGTGAGACTCGAACCTATGATATTTTTTCCCTGAAAACATGATAAAAAATTTAAAAATGGACCTAGTCCCTCATTGGTTGTGTGAGGGTCCTTGGCCGCTCCACCCATTGCCTTAAAGGTTTTGGTTAGATGCTCAGATTCACATAGTATCAGAGCCAAACTTTGGTGAGCCTGTTTGCACTATCACTTTCTCTCATCCTGTTTTATCGCTTGGAGCAATCCAGGACAAAGCCTTCTCTATGAGGTCTAAGGAAACACTGATAATGTAGCATACACAGACGCAGATTTAACCAGATCACCCTCTAACAGATGGTCCACATCGGTATATCATGGAGAGAAAGATAAGAATGATTGACTGAAGAAGAGGAGCAGAGAAAGAAGTTAAATTCCAAAGAAGAGAAAGAAATTAAATTTTAGAGAAGAGAAAAGGTTAAAGTCAATCAAATCCCAAACAATGTACCTTCACTCGGAAGGCTAAGCCATGTAAAAGGGTGTGTCTTCAACGTCGGTTTGTGGATCACAACTCACACACTAATTCTGTCAGGTGCTATTTTGTTCGTGAAAACTTGATGTCGTGAAAAAAATTAAGAAGAAAGATGTGGTTGTAACATCTGGTGCAGACCCTGAGTACCGAGCTACATCCTTAGAGACACATGAATTTATTTGGTTGATTTCACACAAGTCCCTAAGAGGATTCAAACATGCAATCAAGCATACTATTTAAGATACTATTGAAACTAGAGTCACAAGTTCTTCTTCACTACTTAGTAAGAGATGTCCATAGTGTTTAAGGCAATCTACCCATTCACATTTGAAAACAAAGAAACTCATATATATATGCTACTTTACAAGCAAAAATCAATGACAAAATAATAGCATGTTTGATTTCTTTTTCATTAACTGGTTGAAATTGAACTGATAAAATAGAAGATGTCAGATGAACCTTGTTGCACAAAATGCATATTGGTTTAGAGAAGGGTCCAAAACTCCTGCATGAGCAAATTCAAAGCTCCCTCTAACTGATGCAAAATTCTGCCTGTCTAGAGAAGATTCCGTTACAGATGATTTGCACGGACTAAGTACACAAGAAGGTGGCACCGAAACAAAGGTAATATTACTGCTGTCCGCGGTTCCACTAGACTTGAAGCTGGTAAAACTAGTCGTTGCAGAAGGCGAAGAACTGATATGCAAGTTAGCAACCCGTGTTCCATTACTAACACTACAAACTAAACCTTGATCCCATTGCTTGTAACAGTAATTACATACCCTGATCTTTTCCCACTCCTCTCGTAGTGGCCTTGGATCACTATATATTGCAGGAATCCAATTAGACGTACACTTTGCACAAAAAACTCTTCCACAAAGACGACAATGATGCCTACGGTTAAACAATGTAAATTGTGAATCACAATCATAACATACCCTACATATATGATCGGGCATCCAAAAATCCCTCGATACATTTTCAGGTTCAGACCTCCAAGGGATCCATGATTTCAGTAACTTCAACAGATCAGAGAATGTCCTATTAGTAGCATCCATCAAATAAAATAGAGGCTTTTGCCTCTCATTGCTCTAAATACCTCATTCACTAAACAAAACTACTCATAATCCAATCAACAAACTAAAGCCCCAAATCAACAAACTCTTTCACTAATACACTAAAATTGATGCTTTCACCAAATCCATACATTCCAATCAACTGGGCATAAAAATAGGATTCCTTTACACTCTCCTCTGAATCAAAAAACCCAATTTTTGATATCAAAACAGAAAAATAAAAACACCCAACAGCAAAAGATTGAAACTTTAACCTTTAATAATAAAGGGAACAAGTTTTCTTGCTTCTCCACAATCGAAATACATAAATATAACCCTGAAAAATGAAAAAATCAAGAAATCAAACAACATATCTGATTAAGATGAATTGAATTCGATATATCATAACCCTTATATAAAGATCAATCATTTTCGACAAAAATATACAAAGTGAATCGAAACATCAAACTTTTTTTTTTTTGAATACATAAATATGAATGTAACCTTTTTTGCAGAATCAAATTTTATGGGGTCAAATTATAGAACCAATTATAAATTGACACGAAGATAAATAGACCTCCTTCTGCGGAAGAGGGGGCTCACTACGTTAATTCAAACATGCAACTTTGCTGCTGTTTTTCAGATTTTGTCACTCAAAATTATTATTTTTATTTTGAGTTGCTTTGTACAAATGTATTTAAAATATTATATTTTGTGAGTTTTTATACATTATAATATTTAACAAACTCAACACCTTTTACACCTTTTTTGGATGGTTGTTACCTATTTTGGTGTATCGTATTATTATATCGTTAATTGTTAATTCAAAAGATTATTTTTAATTTGATTGTTATATAAATTTTGTTGTATCATATCTATATATTGTTATGACAACTATACACGCGGTCACACTTTTTTTGGATAGTTGTTACCTATTTTGGTGTATTATTTTATATTGTTAGTTTAAAAAATCATGTTTAATTGGGATGTTACATAAATTTTAGTGTATTGTACCGTTTAAATCTATCATTAGAATGATGAAAAGTCTTAGTTTGCGTAACGATTGATTTGGTGTGATCGTATTGTTACCTTGATTTTTTCTTCTTGTTTTATCTTTATCTATTGTTTAATAATTCTATTTTATTCTCTATTATAAATTTTTGTAGTAGTTTTATCTTGTATCCTACTTTTCTTGTATGTATATCCTTTGAAGTTGTTGATATGTGACATTATGTAACGATAGAGAACAATATTATTTATCTAAATATTGTATTTATTAAAATAATACAGGACTTTCTTCGATGGCAAGTTTCTCTCGGTGAGGTTAACTAACATGCGTCGTCCATGGGGAAGAGAACTTGAATTCCATCCCTGAAAGCTCAAATGACACTAGAAACAGTGATGCTGACAGAGGCGGATCCACCCCTCTAGGTGGGGTGCACGTGCATTTGGTAATTTCGAAAAAAATCATATATATATATATATATAGGTATATTTATTTTGAAAAACTAACATAAATTAGAATATAATTAATAGTGCATCCATTAAAAGCATAAAAGTGTCATTATATTGTTGGTACAAACTAAAAGATCCACCCGCAAGATATAGTACAATAAATTTATATATCCATAAAATAAAAAAAGCAAGATTGTGCAGACTATGAAGATTAATATTATTGCTTCTTGGCTAATAAAAAAATCCTCAAAACAAATGAGACTAAGAAAAATGCAGGATATATGTGCAAAGACAATGAGTATACAATTATATATTAATTAAATTTTCTCCTAATTAGGTAATAAATGATGTATAGAATGAGGAAGGTTGGGACTTTGAAGATCTTCAGGAGAATGTACCAGAATAGGTGGCAGAGCATATCAGGCTTATTATGATGCATATTCGATTAGTTAATCAAGGAGATAAACTTTGGTGGACCAAAACTAATACAAGTTTTTTCACTGTGAAGAGTGCATGGGACCTTTTAATAGGGGGCGTTCGATTCTTCGGTTCGGTTCTTTGGTATTCAGTTTTAGAAAAGTGTGCACCATAGTTCATACCAAACTAGATCGACTCAGTTCGATTTTTTCTACTTCGGTTCGATTTAGTTCAGTGTTTTTAAATCGGTTTTTCGGTGTGAATAAAAATAAAGAGGGAATATAATAAAGTGTTAAGAGTTTTTCAATATAATAAACTGTTTCTAGCATAGATGGCATGTTGCTGCTCCAGCGGCCAGCCAACAATATGTGACAGAATCAGCCATCAGGCAATCAACAAACATTCAAAACATGAAGTTGTCCAGGTCTACAAAGACTTGTTCAGTGTCCACACATTTTTTTTTAAAAAAACACAACACCATCAAACGACACTATCTCTTTGGATACATGATTCAAATTTCAACACATTCAAAACATGAGGCTTAGCACATCCAGCTAACATCCAACAAAATAACATTAATGCAATGAAATAAATTTGTGTAGCGGCTCCAGTGGCCAGCCAACAAAATAACATCAATGCAACAAAATAAATCTGTGTAGCTGCTCCAGCGGCCAACCAACAAAATAACATCAATGCAAACTTTGTGTAGTTGATGCCTGCTAACATCAAGGCTCCAGCCAAAGCCTAAAAGGCAACAATTATTTTTTTACAAGCAGTAGCAAACTAGCAATAGCAGACAACACTACCAAACTTTCCAAATGTTGCTAAAACAGAAGTCACAAAACAGTAAACACAGTCACAAGTCACAACGCCCTTCTTTGTTGTCTTGAACCACCACACAATGTTTTCAAAATCAAAACAAATGAGCAAGCTTTAGGAGATATGGTTGAACTTGAACCTAATAAAAAAATTAAACCAAAAGGCAGAAACTTAGTTAGAAGTCAGAATGTTTCAAGATACAAAAAGATATCTTATATCAAACAAATAAAGTATTGAAACTCATCATTAATAGCAAAAGAGCAAATTGTTATCATACGCCAACAATGCAAGAATCCCTTCCACTGTTTGCCATTTCTAAAGATAATTTAAACAAATGTCAAGCAACATAAATAAGTAGATTAGTTTTACAACACACAAACAATATGAAAACTCACCAAGTTCAAGTTTCTCAAGATACTCCAAACTTTCTTCCACACAAATAGAATTAGGCTCTTTTCTAAGCCAATCTTGAGCACAAACAAGAGATTGCATACATTTAGGAGTCAAAGAACTTCTGAATCGATCAAGAATACACCCACCGGTACTAAATGCACATTCCGATGCGACACTTGAAATTGGAATAGCCAATACATCACGAACTAACTCTGAAAGAATAGAAAATCTTGGAGCATTAACTTTCCACCAACTTAAGACATCAAAATCATCATGTTCAAGCTCTTGGTCTTCTTTAAGGTATTTCTCCAACTCCGACTTAGCAGCGCCACTTCCACTATTTTCCTTTTGTTTCTTCATGTGAAGCTTAGTTCTCAAAGCTTTTGTTCTCGAATTTTGAGTAACAAGAGCTAGATGAATCAGATAAATCCGATAAAGTAGATCTAGATGGAGATGATGGATATTGTAGATTCTTTTGTAATATTTTCTTAAATAATCTTCAAACAAAGTTTCCATATAAGCCTTCACTTGTTTATCTACTTTCTTTCCGTTTTCCTCCCCAAATAGTTCTTCAAGTCCAAAGCTAACATACACAAATTTATTGCGAGGATCTAACACAGAAGCAATATAAATCATTGAGTTTATCTTATCAGGAGTTCCCCAATATTTCTTGAATTTCTTTATCATCCCATCAGCCATATTTTTCAAATTAAGATCTTCACTTGTAAGACACAGTTTCAAGTATACATCAAGCTCACATATATCCTCAAAATGAACACTAGATGTAACATAATGTGAACCTGAAACCTTTATTGTAAGCTCATCAAATTTTTCAAGAAATTTTACTACACTTCTCACATTTGCCCAATCATCACATGCAAGTGTACCAGTAATACTTCCATCTTCACAAATATGAGTAGATAGATAAGTTTTCAAATGTTCATCAAAAAGATCAAATCTATCAAAGGCCTTTTCAAAGCTTTGCGTCGCTTCCAACATCAAGTAGGTAGAATTCCACCTAGTAGGCATATCTAGCGACAATATCTTTTGGACTTCACAACATTTCACAAAGTTTCTTGTTCTTGCCGGAGATGATCTAACATACCTCACCATTTGCCTAACCCGTTTGACAGAGATATCAATTTCCTTCAAACCTTCTTGCACAATTAGGTTAAGTATGTGAGCCATACATCTCACATGAAGATGCTTGCCCTCAATTATGTTCGTTCCCCACATATTTAACTGCTTAGATAATTCTGTAATCATAACACTATTTGAAGAAGCATTGCCAACAGTAACAGAAAATACATTATCCAAGTTCCAATCAAGCAAGCAATTACCAATAGCCTCTGTCATTTGTTCACTCTTATGACTAGAGATGGGGTAAAAATTTAGTATTCTCTATGCAACACTCAATTTCTATCAATGAAATGAGCAGCCAAACACATGTAATTTATTCTTTGTATCGAGGTCCATGTGTCAGTGGTGAGGCAAATCTTTGGTTGTATTTCTCTAAAAGACTTCTTCAGATTGTATCTTAGTTCACCATAAAGTGCATAGCAATCCCTTGTTATTGTTCTACGAGAAGGAATTCTAAATGGAGGTTGGGCTTGACTCATAAACTTTTTAAAACCTTCATTTTCTACAAAACCAAAAGGTAGTTCATCCATAATTATCATTTCAACTAAAGCCTTCCTAACTACTTCTTGTTTAAATTTCCAAAGTGGTGCACGTGCATCAGTAGACGAGAAATTTATCTTGGATTGAGAAGTAGTTTCAATAGTAGACTTATAAATAGAGCACCTTGCTAAGTGTTGGTTCAATGCAATTGTACCATTAATGGAAGTATAGGTATGAAATTGGTGACAATACATGCACTTCGCTCCACTCATACCATTCTCAACAACCTTATCAAAATGATTCCAAGCTTTGGATCTTGGTGCTATTTCTTTTCTTTTTAGGTTGGGTGCCAACACTGTCACTGCCAAGTGAGTCATTGTCATTGCTATCATTTTTATTATTAGGTAAGTCATCACTTGAACCACCAACACCAACTCTATTGTCATTCTCCATCTGCAAAAAAAAAAAATGAAAACTAAAGTAGTGAGCAAAAGAAAGATTCAGTCGCCGCTGCCTGCTGCACTTTCTCCAAAACGCAATTCCCCTTTCATCCAAGATTCAGTTTTTCACAACACAGAAGAAGTTTTAGCATAGAAAATAGCTCCAATTTTGCAATCTTGCACAAATTCTATAGAAATTCTTGGTTCTGTTCTTCGTAAAGGGCAGCAGGTTCATGCCCAAGTAATTATAAATGAAATCGACAACGATGATCCAAAAAATACGTACCTTTTTTCACGTCGGCCGTCGGCGATGGTCTGAGGCGAGAAGAGTGAAGATTGAAGACCGATCACTAAAGTCACGGGACACGGCGGTCGGCGCTTCTCAATTGAATTGAACTTTTGTTTAGTTTAGATTTTAGATTTTGGGGCTTTAGGGTTCACTTTACTGTGTTTTGTGACTTTGTCATTTAAAATTTGAAATGGGCCGTATTATTAACTAATTAAGT